TCGAGTTCTAAAAGGTTTTTTATGGAATCTTTAGTTTTCTATACATAAGATCATGTCATTTGTGACTAGAGGTAAGTTTCACTCCTGTTCCCATTTACCAAGTTTGATTTTTATCCACAGCAACAATCATCACCTGGCATACTATATTTACTAGTTTTTAATATAAATCTATGTTTACTGTATAAATTTATGTATTCATTAATTTATTGTTTGCCTTCTCCTGGCTAAAATGTAAACTCCACAGAGACAGGTATTTTTGCCTACTTTGTTCACTGCCTCTGAAACAATGCCTGGCTCATAATAGATGTTCAATAAATAATTGTAAAGTGAACAAATCACCTCACCTGGCACACAGAAGGGACTTAGAAAATGAGAGCAAGCAATAATTATTGTTATTTTTAATGTATTATTTCATGGCAAGAGTAACAGTTAAGCCTTAAAGTGAAAAGTTCTCATTATGCTGAAGGGTTTACAGTGCAATAAATAAATAGCACCAGATTCCAGCTGCATTGGATTCCCTTGGGTAGATCTCAACTCACACCCTGGCACACCCTTTCAAGTAATCCCTGTGGCCATCAGAGATGACAACTCAGTTCAGATGCCAATCTATACAGAGGAACTTCTGTAAACAGGCCACTCTATGTGGTCTCTGCTCAAATCCTCCAAGGCATCTCGTGGAGCCAGGGCTGGCCTGGTCAAAGGCCTGTCCAAGTGGCCTGTGTCCAATTTCATGGAGCTGGAGCAGGGACAGGGACTCTTGCCAAAGGCAGCATATAAGACCAAGAGCCAGGGGCAGCCTGTCACAGTCCACTAAGAAAAGCCTGGGTTCCAGTACAAACAGAAGCCAGAGGGCCAATGGCAGAGCCAAAGCCAGAGTGTTGGCGCCAAGAACTCAGAATAAGTAGGTCAGGCTCCAGGACCGGGCTGGAGTGGAGTGTACTTGGTCACGGTCTGCAGGACCAATCAGGGCTGGCACTGGTGTTTGTGAGCAGGCCTAGGTGAGATGAACTAGTGTAAAGAACCAGGATAAACACGCCCAGCCTCTTGGCATAGTCCCTGCTTAGCAGCCCCCCCATAACACACCCACAGCTTCAATGTAGCTGCTTCCTGGGAAAGGCCGCTCCCTAGCTCAGGGATTAACTAAGAAAGCACCATTTTTCCCACTCCCAAATGTCCTTTAAGATGAGCTGTCTTCGAATCTTATCTCATTGTAGATCTGATCACCCACCTGGTATATTTACAAATACAAATCCAAATTCTGATTGAAATAACAGAGCATTATAATAATTATAAATATACAACCACCAGTCTTCCATCCATTCCCCTCCATGTTGATCTGAGATTGGGCTCTTGAGAAAACAGTGGATGATTTACAATGGTAGTTCTCAAACTTCATGGTCTCTGGACCCTTTTACACTCTTAGAAACTATCAAGGATTCCAAAGAGTTTTTGTTTATGTGGGTTGTATCTATCAATTTATCATACTTGTAATTAAAACTGAGAGTTTTTAAAAAATAACAATAAACCCAGTCCATGTTAGTGTGAATGACATAATTCTTATGAAACACAACCATAATTTCTAGAACAAAATAAAATCAGTGAAAATTATAGCATTGTTTTACATTTTTGCAAATTGTTTTAGCATCCAGCTTAATAAAAGACAACTGGGTTCTCAGATCTGCTTCTGCTCTCCATCTGTTATGATACGCTGTTTTGGTTGAAGATTATGATGAACGTCTGGTATCGTTCACACAGGCAGTTGAACATCTACTTTTCAGGTAGTACCTGAAGGGTCTTGGGGATCCTCAAGACCATATTTTGAGAACCACTAGTTTAGCGCATGATGGTGCTACCATATACTGCCTGCGTGGATCATGGGCATGAGGACAAGCAGAGCTCAGAATGGGAGAGAAGATGGCTGGGAGGAGAGGTGGTAAGGAGGGAGCAATCCTTAGGGAGTGGGTAAGGAGTAAAGAGTGGGTGCTTCATTATCCAGTTATCTGTCCCTACTCTTCCCCAAACTTGGCCAGGAGCAGCTGGACCCCACTAGCTCCTTCCTGTGGAGGGGAAATGTTGGGATGAAGCATCCTGTTGAGTTTTCCCTGCAGTATAATTGGCAGGGTATGGCAAATGCTGAAATGCAACCAGTATGGACAGACAGTCTGTGGCATGGGGAAGGAGTGTAATGCAGCAGAACGCAGGCAGGAGGCACACTGGACCATCTAGAAGATGAAAGCATTGGAGGATTGGCCTGACAAAACCTAGTCAGCAGGATCTTTGTCAGTTCCCTAGAGGATTCTAACATGCCTCAGAATCACCAAATTTAAGTGAATTCAAGGAGACCACCCAGGTGTATATATATATATATATATATATATATATATATATATATATATACACCTCACTAGTTATATAACCTCAGACCAATTACTCTGCTTTGGTTTACTCATCTGTACATTGGGAATGCTATGAATATTAAATGAGATCATCTGTTTAAAGTTCTAAGCACCATGACTGGCACAAAATAGGTAAGTTTGAGTTATTATTGGTTATAGTGACTTTGGTCAGGTCATCAGCTCTTATCAGCTTCCAGAGACAGGTACGAATGTCTCTGAGGAAGCTGCCACACATACAGGACAAGGCACCCAAGGGTGGGGCTAGGGCTCCAGTCCCAGCCCTGCCAAAGGTGGATCTCCCACCTGGATCCTCTGTTTTCTCAACTGGAAATGCAGGAAATCAGCAGCTCCCCGTTCCCAGGATCCAGCCCTCGACTCCTCAGAGGGAGAAGAGAACTCTTGGCTGAGGGGTACAAATGTGATGTCACCAAAAGCAGGTGCAGGAGAAGTCAACATGGGATGCACTAGTGGTGTTCACACTGTGAGTGTGTGTGTGTGTGTGTGTGTGTGTGTGTACACTCTGTGGTCAGATTCAGATACTGTTTTTTCTTTTTAAAATTATTGGAACATCCCAAATCTATTGCAGATGGCAGAGGGGAAAACAGAGAATGGAAATATTTTAATGTCTTATTCTTGGCCTGTAGTCTGTCCACAGAGACCTGGAATGAGCACAGCTCCCTCCTCATTGTCCTTGAGAGCATCACCATCACACATGGTGCACCTTGTTCTGCCTCAGAGCACATTGGATGGGCCATGAATGTTCACAGAAACAAGAAACGGAGGCCAGAGAAGGACCTGGAATGGTCTCTGAGCAGGCAGTACAGTAGTGACTCAATATTTTTATTAAGAGGCAGAATGAATCATGTAACACTTCTTCTAGAATTACTGGACATGGACAGTTTCTCCAGCTGTTTGCAGGGTAGAATTTGAGAGCCTTCAAACTCAGATTTGGTGCTGTGTCTCATGACAACCACCCCACCCCCTTTCCCCAGATGAGTCTGCTGCACAGAAGACCAATTTAATTTCCTTCAGGTTCATTGACTTTCGTGAATTCACAGAGAGAAGCACCGCCTAGCTGAGATAACTAACAGGAAGGAGCCAAAGAATCACCTAAGGCCGATCTTGTGCCTCCTGGAAGGATTATATCTAATCACCCAGGCCAGAGTTGTCCAAGCTGCCTAAGACCATGAAGGGAGCCACAAAAATAGGAAGATAATTGGATCCAGGGCTCAACACCCTTCATCGGGAGCAGGATTACACAGGCTAATCCTCTAGACTCCATGGGTCGTGCAGTAATTAGTAAGCCTCATTAAAGGCTCAACCCTCACATCCGGGTCTTGAGTATTGACACCAAGTTAAGCCATAGACATGTTGGGCTGATTAAGAAAGCAGCAGACTAACCACATATCAGGATTTCACCTTTCAACCAACCCTATACTGGATGCACTTAAAGGCCAGACTGATAGGGAAAGTGCTGGAAGCACAGTGGGTTTGAGGGCTTTGGGAGGTCTTTTGTTTGTTTATTGGTTATATCCACAGCTCTGAATGTACGTTCCCTTGAGAGGCAATTTACTAGTTGGAAAATCTACTTTGTCAGAGTGCTTGGTCTGAAATGATTTTTCAGGCTGGCAAGTACACTTTACCCTGTTATATGGGGGTTTTCCTTCCACAAGCACAATGCCTGTGCTTGTCACTTTGGAGGTGGCTAATGTATTGTAGCCCAACTGATGCTGCCAAGCTCTGCCTGAAATTTCTTCCTGACAATAAGATGCTGAGTTGTTCTTGTTTCTAAGAGGTGGGGAGTGACCTATTCCCAAACATGGACCACAGGTTCCCCCACCCCAGCTCCGATCCATACCCCACAGAGGAACCAGCTTCCCGTGGTTCCACTGAATGGGGAAGGTCCCAACTCTGCCTATCCACAGAGCAGGCTGGGAAGGGTGCTGGGCTTCAGAGTATAAGTTCAGCCCCTCAGCCATCCGCTAAGCTCAAGTTGTCCCAGTTCAAGGCCCCCTCTAGGGGTCTACCAGGAGGTGTTTTTTTCCTGTGTGTTAGGTTTAAGGAAGTAGGGAAGCCAAATGAGATGGAAATAGATTTAAACTTAGTCAAATATATAGCTTCTAATGCTAGCATTATAAAGGAAATGCTAGCATAGCAAAGGAATTCTCTAATCACATAATTTTTACTTCTTTCTAATGAAACTAAAATAGACTCAAATATTTTAGCTAAATTTAGAATGGCAATATTTTGCATGACAGACAAGATTCACAGTCTTTGGACTGGTCTAGAATGTTTTAAAACCCTATAAAGTGAGTTATTTATATTTCTCAGATATTTGAATTTTTAGCCTAAAATTATATTGTTTTTTGTGAACACTTATTTCCATACTTCTGCTGGTTCCTTATTCCCCAGACTGTGAGCTTGGGAAAAATGAATGTGTGGCTCAGGAATGGGGATGGAGAGGACACTCTCCACTAGACCAAGGACACATGTTATCTGTCAGTTTCCCCCAAAAGGAAATTAATGTGCTTCCATAATTCACAAGAGCAAACAAGACAAAACATAAATCTGTGTGTGTCACACCACAGTAACAATGAAACTTACCTGTTCCTGAACTGCACGTTTTAACAGAGGCAAGCCCATGGTGAACTTCACTCTCTGGAATGTCAAAGCTCTCATCTCATCCAGACTTAAATCATACCTGTGAAGAACAGATACAGAATAGGGTTAAGACACTGAATTTGCAGTGACTCTGAGTTGAGCCTCTGGATGATTCACCAAGGAATCTGATAGAACATGTATCTTTTCTGTGTTTCTTTGTAGCTCTTATTTGATATGATGTGTCAAAGTAGCCCAACTGTGTGTGAACACAGACAAGACAGTGGCCTGATGATGGAAGAAAGGAAGGAAGCATTAAATTAAGGTCATCTTCACAAAGAAATGGAAAGACATCTCCTGCTCATGGATTGGAAGAATTGACAGTATCAAAATGGCCATCCTACCAAAAGCAATTTACAGATTCAATGCTATTCCAATAAAAATTTCAATGACATTCTTCAAAGAAATAGAACAAATATTGATGAAATTCATATGGAGCCACCATAAACCCCAAATAGCCAAAGCTCTCCTGAAAAAAAGGAAGGCATCACACACCCAGACTTCAAGTTATATTACAAAGCCATAATAATCAAAACTGCATGGTATTGGAACAAGAACAGACACACAGATCAATGGTACTGAATAGAAAATCCAGAAATAAACCCACAGATTTATAGTCAACTAATCTTTGACAAAGGAGCAAAGAATATGCAATGGAGCAAAAAAAGTTTGTTCAATAAATGGTGCTGGGAAAACTGGGTATCTACAAGCAAAAGAATGAAGCTTGACTACTACCTCACACCTCATACCATGCACAAAAACCAACTAAAAATAGATTAAAGAACTAGACATAAGGGCCTCCCCAGTGGCACAGCAGTTGAGCGCTGGGTTGCGAAGCTGCCCGCGGCCTCTGCGGCGCTGGTTCGATCCCCGGCTGCTCCCCAGCCACCGGAGGAGGGTCCCACATGGTGCGCAGACCTCTCCTGCCACCCGCTGCTCCCCTCAGCAGTGTACTTCGGTCCTTCTGCCTGTTCTGCTCCCCGCTCTGGCTCTGGTGAATTCTCTCACCCTCCCGTGCTTCTGCTGTACCCAGTGCATGTATAAACAAAACAAACAAACAAACAAATAAATAAATAAATAAATAAAACATGCCTCTATTAAAAAAAAAAAAAAGAACTAGACATAAGACCTGAAACCATAAAATATATAGAAGGAAATATAGGCAGAACACTACATGACATACACTTCAGTAGCCTCTTTAAAGACTCATCACCCAAAGCAGTGATAGCTAAGGCAAAGATAAACAGCTGGGACTACATCAAATTAAAGAGCTTCTGTACAGCAAGAGACAGTAACAAAAACAAAGAAACACCCCACCTACTGAGAGAAAATTTTTGCACACAGCACTAATTATAAAGGACTGACCACAAAAATCTACAAAGAGCTGACAAGACTCAATAAAAACAAAGTAAATAACCCAGTCAAAAAATGGGCAGAAAAGCTAAAAAGGAACTTCTCCAAAGAGGAAATGCGAATGGCCAATAGGCATATGAAAAAATGTTCAGTGTCAGTTGTAATCAGGGAAATGCAAATCAAAACTACAATGAGATACCATCTTACACCAGGGAGAATGGCACATATTAAAAAAACTAGCAACAATAAATGTGGGCGAGGATGTGGAGAAAAAGGAACTCTCCTGCACTGTGGTGGGAGTGCAAACTGGTCCAACCTCTATGGAGAGCTGTGTGGAGAGTTCTCAACCTGCGAAGATGGAGCTTCCATATGATCCAGCAATTCCACTCTTAGGTATTTACCCAGGGGACACAGAATCATTAATTCAAAAGGGCACCTGCACCCTTATGCTTATAGCAGCACTATTTACAATAGCTAAGCTATGGAAACAACCCAAATGCCCAAAAGTAGATGACTGGATCAAGAAGATGTGGTACATATACACAATGGAATATTACTCGTCAACCAAAAAAGATAAACTCATGCCATTTGCAGCAACATGGATGGAGCTGGAAAGGATCATGTTCAGCGAAATAAGCTAGAAAGAAAAGAAAAATAATGGATGATCTCACTCATAGCAGGAATTTAGAAAACCCTAAATAAGGGACCAGGAAAAAGACTAATTATAATAAAGTAAAAATCAACAAGCACCAAGCAACTATAAACCAGAGACACAGAATGGGGAGGGAATGTAAGAGGGATTAGGGTCAAAATAAGGGGGGGTGGGAATTATATGGGTACTATAATCAAGATGAAAATGCATACATTGTGCAAAAATGAAAAATGATGTAAAAAATATATAAAATAAAATTCATGTGATGGGAAAAAAAATAATTGAGGTCATCTTAAAACAAGCCTTCACCATCTCCTCAACAGGTTTTAAAGACATTTTCGTGTCTAAAGTGACTCAAGAAAAAGAAACAGTATTTGGGGAGATGGAGGAGAAGGGCATGGCCTGTGTGATACCAACGGGTAGACTGTGGTGACCACAAGCAGTGTCATTTGGCATTTCTTTCAATGGAAACTGATGTAGGGACCAGTGTTTCCCAACAATCTCCAGTTGCCACATTCTAGAATTGACTATGGTGTTCACCCCAGGTACTTTCCTGTGGGCTGCTCCCAGCCAGTAATTAAACACAGCAAGATTCTTGGCCATGTGACCTTTGAGATACTGGCAAACTTGATAGAAGCAAAGACTTGAAAAAAGTGCTTGGGCATTTCTCTGGCCCTCTTGCTCTTCTTCCATCCTTATGGAAGATGCTTGAGCAAATAAATCTGAGAACATGCCCAGGCTAGCCCCCTGGGGGCAGGTGAGTGTAAAGCAAGAAACATGGGAGGAGAGCTTAGTGTCTCAGCCAAGGTCATCCCAGACCAGCAACTCCCAACATGTGAAAGAGTCCAGATCAGAAGAACCTCCCCATCACTCACCGATCCATGATCAAGAGTAAACAGTTAATGATTTGAACCACTAGATTTTACATCAGAGCTAATGATACTATACAACTCTATACCTGGAAGGCCCCAGGACAATCAACTGAAATATATACAAACAATAAGAGTCCGAAGTATAGGGGACTCCCTGGTGGCACAAAGGTTTAACGTCTCAGTGCTTTCAAGCTATTACCAGCCACTGCAGCCTGAGTTTGATCCCTGGCCAGGGAGCTGACCCACATGGCACAGCAGACCTTTCCTGTCTCACCCGCTGCCCCTCAGCAGTGTATTTCAGTAGATCCACCTATTCAGCTCCCCACTCTGTCTCTGGTGAATCCTCTTACCCCCCACACCTCTAGCCTGCACCCCAGTTCTTGTATGCATAAATAGAATAAATCTTTAAAAAATAGAGTCAGCAGTATATACAATTAATAGAAGAAATCAAATAACTTTCTTTTTTAATTTGTTATTATTGGTCCTCAAGAAAACTGGGTTACTACTAAGTAGCTCTCAATTATTAACATATAAGCTTCTTGGGCCTCCCCTGGTGGTGCAGGCAGTTGAGAGCCATGTTGTGAAGCTGTCCACAGCCTCTGCAGTGCCAGTTCAATCCTGGCTGACTGGCGAGGGTCCCACATGGTGAGACAGACCTCTCCTGTCGCGCCCGCTGCTCCCCTCAGCAATGTCTTTCATCAGTCTTCCTGTTCTGCTCCCCGTTCTGTCTCTGGTGAATCCTCTCACCCTCCCGCGCATCTGGCCTGTACCCCAGTTCTTGTATAAAAATAAATAAATCTTTAAAAAAAAAACATAAGCTTCTTGCATTAACGAAATTTCTCAACAGAGACAAGTCAAACATTTTAATTATAGGTGTATCTCATCCCTGTTCCACCCTCACTCCCAAAATTTACCACTAGGAAAGAGGACATTATATGGGGCAGATGTCGCTGTTCACTACAGCACTGTAACAATGCAACATTGCAAACACCTAAAAGTCCATAAAGAGAAACAACCTAAATGCCCCAAAACAGATAAATTGATCAAGAAGATATGGTATATATACACAAGAGAATACTACTCAGCAATCAAAAAAGATAAACTCAGGCCTTCCCGGTGGCACAGCAGTTGAGCGCTGGGTTGCGAAGCCGCCCGCGGCCTCTGCAGCGCCGGTTCGATCCCTGGCTGCTCCCCGGCCACTGAAGGAGGGTCCCACATGGCGCGCAGACCTCTCCTGCCGCCCCCTGCTCCCCTCAGCAGTGTACTTCGGTCCTTCTGCCTGCTCTGCTCCCCGCTCTGGCTCTGGTGAATTCTCTCACCCTCCCGCGCTTCTGACTGTACCCAGTGCATGTATAAACAAAAAACAAAACAAATAAATAATGAATAAAAAAACATGCCTCTATTAAAAAAATAATAATAAAAAAAGATTTTTAAAATAAAAAAAAAGATAAACTCATGCCATTTGCAGCAACATGGATGGAGCTGGAAGGGATTATGCTAAGCAAAATGAGTCAAAAGGAAAAAGAAAAATATCAGATGGTTTCACTCATAGGAAGAATATAGGGAAACTGAACAGTGTCAAAAAAAAAAAAAGACAAAACTTGAAGGCAGACTATAGATCTGAGGCATATAGCAGGGGAGGGGGAGGGAGAGAGATCACAACCCGGGAGAGATGAGCACAAAGGACTACGGTGATGGTTCACGGGTGATGTGAAGGTGGGAGAACTACAGGGACTACACCCAAGGGGAGAAACGAAATACTGTTCAAAATGAACAATGCTGTAAGAAAAGTAAAAAGTTAAGTAAGAAATAAAATACAAGTCTATTAATAGAAGAGTGATTTAATAAAATACAATGTGTCAAATAATGGAATAGTATATAAAAAGAAAAATCTCTTTATATGACAAATGTGGAGAAACTGCCAAGATATTTTAAATTTTAAAAGACAAGGTGTAAACAAGTGAATATGTTACTTCTGCTGCTGCATTATATGGTTTTTTTAAAGGGTGGAAAATACTATGTATTACTTTGTTTTATCTCTTAAAGGACACTCCAGAAATAAAATAATAGTGTTTAACTTTAGTATATGTGTGGCAGAGGTGGAGGAAATTGGGAAGATGAATAACAGTGCTCTACCTGCTTCTGTTTCTGACTTTTTTTTTTAAT